GTCTGGTTTTAAAAAAATCTAAAATCTTTAAAAGCCTGGTTTCACCAGCCAAGAATTGATATGGTGAGCATTAAACCCTAGCTGTTTGCCCAATTCAGTCTCATTCATCATAGTTGGTTTGACCGACTTACTCCAAAACAGCCTCTAAATTTACTGGCTGCTCCATAAATGCATGAAAAAGACAGCTCTCTACCACCTCCAGCATCATAGGCTTTGCCTTTGCAATTCCATTATCCCCCCAGTCAAAGGGAAATTGAAAACACTCTTGAGTATTATTCTATCATTTTGTATATTCTATTATCTTACTTAACATTTTCTGATCGGCTTTTCTCCCCATCCCCTAGGTCAATGCTATTTTCCTATGATATTTTTGTCTTCTAACATTATTTTACAAAATCATAGTAAATGTAGTTAACATTGGTTATTTTGATATCTTTTTCTCTGCCTTGTTTATATGAGGAATTGTTGAAGTTCTTGCCATCTGATTTCCTTTTTAGGAGATATTTTTACCAGGTTTTGTCATTTTTATCATTTAATGGATAAAGTAGTCATTCTTTTTATTATTAATTTCTATACATTTTATGCATCTGTTTGTTAATCCATTCATTTAAAATTTCATTTAAGGGCTGGGCGCGGTGGCTCACGCCTGTAATCCCAGCACTTTGGGAGGCCAAGGCGGGCAGATCACAAGGTCAGGAGATCGAGACCACGGTGAAACTTCCTCTCTACTAAAAATACAAAAAAAATTAGCCGGGCGCGGTGGCGGGCGCCTGTAGTCCCAGCTACTCAGGAGGCTGAGGCAGGAGAATGGCGTAAACCCGGGAGGCGGAGCTTGCAGTGAGCCGAGATCGCGCCACCGCACTCCAGCCTGGGGAACAGAGCGAGACTCCGTCTCAAATAAATAAATACATAAATAAATAAATTTCATTTAAATAATGAAAAAATATCTACTTTGTACCCGACTGCTAAGCACTTTATGTACATCAATAATTTTACGAGGTTGATTCTATTATCTTTCTTGCATTGCTTAAAAAACTGAGGCTCATAGGAGTTAGATAATTTGTCTAAACTTACAGAGGTAAATATTAAAAGCAGAACTGCAAACGATAATCTTCATTTTTAAGCCTGAGTTCTAACTTTCATACAATTCTAGATTTATCATCAGTTGGTCACTATTTTGAGGCATGAGGTTAGCTTGTAGGAGAGAAAAATAAATTTTAAAAAAGATACTGCCTTCACAAAACTTGCACTATACAGTAATGAAGGGAAAAATCTACACACACCAAAAACTTTAATACCTCATATAAATAGAATACACACCTGAGAAAGAAAAAGCCCTTCAAGCATTAAGAAGCTGAGAAGATCCTTGATAATTCAAAATGGTGGGCCTTGCTGTTCCCCTCAGCTGAACTACCTTCCCTTGCTCTTCTAACTTCTTAGCAAACTTCAAAGCTTTCCTGGTTACCCTGCCCTACAGTGCTATCTTATTTTGCTAAATTCTGATAGAATTCCCTGCAGCTCAGGCATATTTAATATTACTGATTTTACTGTTGGGTATTTATCTTGTGTCTCATACGGTTTGTCTCTTTAACCTAATCATAATCTTCATGAGCTCACTCCCTGAATAACCTGGCTAGTTGTATATTCAAAATAAAGGGCATTTGTAATTGCAATGATAAACACGTGGTTCATTTTGGTAGCACAATGCTTCTCAACCTGTGCAGGTGATGGAAAAGTATTAAAGTCATCACACTGTAAAAGGAGACATCAATATATCTGATTTTATGTAACTAGATATATTATCTTACCATGCATTAGTTACAGTCCCAGAATTTATATATTGTAGATAAGTAATAAAAAGCAACAAAGATTGAAGGAGAACAAAACTTTTAAGAGGAAATATATAAAAATTATATGAATGCATGTTATTCACGTTTTATTCTGTTGTATTTTGCCTTGCTTTGTTTTTTAATAAAGTGGGGAAACATAAAAGCCTTTTAAAATATTGGTGATATAGTTGCTTGTATTACTCAACTTGCAAGTCCTTGGAGTTCTATGAAGCCACAGTTTGGAAATATCTGCCACAGTGGCAAAATGTTGTATTTATTGTTACGTCAATTTGTAAGGTAGCTAATGGCTACAGGTGTTATTAATTACAAAAGAATTCGGACATGCTCAGTTACTTGGCTAGGAGCATAATCACAAAATCAGATCTAATCAATTTCAGAGACAATGATTTGAAGGTGCAGCACTTCTTGTTTTGATCATTGAGATATTTAATCCCATATTCTTATTTTCTTATAATGCTAAAGAAGCATAGAGATAGATTTAAGTGGTAAACAATTTTAATGCTGTTGGTATCTCCCTAGACACTTTTTATCTTTAATTACAGTAGAAGGGGGATAAGAAGGCACCAACATTTACTTAGCTCCAGTTATGTGCCAGGTACTCTGTATAATTTAATTGACATTTATTCATTCCTTAACAAATATTTTTCAATAGCTGGCACGTTACACTTATCACTCTTGTGATAAGCAAAAATAGACATGCTCCCTACATTCATGAAAGGTACATATTCCAGTGTTAGACACTAACCAAATTCATAATTGTAAACAATGCTATGAAGAAATAGTATGTAATTTTATCCTCAACAATCCTTTAAGGAAGCACACTGTTGCCTATTCATAAATTAGGAGGTTAAAGAACTTGTCCAAATCTACAAGGCTAGTAAAGGTCAGCATGGCTGCCAGGTATGGCTCAGCAAGTGTTGCCTGAAACTCTTCTGAGGGCGGGGGGCGTTATTCACATCCACTATAATGTAGCTGAGGCTTCCAGAGTTTTGACGTGTATCATCCGCACAACCATATGTGTGGCCTTAAGTCAGAGAGCACTCAGCCCTCAGTTTCTCCACTTGTCCCTAATTATTGTAGTTTCTCACAGTAATTAAGTTTGAAATATGTTGGTTTGTTCATCAAACCTACTGTATCTTAAAGGTAAATTATGTAGGACAGCATCTAAACAATACCCAGTTGAATGAAATACAATTCTCATTCAAATTAATAAAAGGTTGTTTGAGTGCCTGGTGTCTGTAAAAAAGACAGTATGAAAGATGTTTCCTGGCCTCACAGTTGCCAGCAGACCAGGAAAATAAATGAAATGAGATTGACCATCATGCCACAATGTACTTAGAAGGCATTTCATTGCCAGTGAAGAATTTGTTTTTGCCTCTCCTAGCAGCCGTATCAGTTGTGAGATGGAAGTTTGGAAGATAGCTAGAATGCTTGCATGAAAAAGTTTGAATGATCTACCCCGGGCAATGGTGGATCCTTGCCAATTTGAGGGCATAGGAATATCATGTGCATCACAATGTTCAGAATGGTTACTCCAGCGGTGTGAAAACCCATGAAGGAAACTCCAAGACTCAGGGAATCCAATTAGGAAGCTTTCAAAAAAGATCGGCAGAAAGTGACAGGTTCTTGGATTATGGTGGTGAATTTTTTTTTTTAATTGGAAAAGCATGTTCTATTTGGAAGAAGCATTGAAGTCTCCTTTCCTCCTGGTTTGCTGTAGTTGCAGCTTTGTGTAGCGAGTAACACTTAGTAAATCTTCCCTACTTTTTTACTGTACTATAAATGAACATTCTTACATAGCTTGTTTCTCAGCCCTTTTTAATTAGAATCAGAATAGGAGAATGGGTATCTCAGGCTGTGAGTAATTTGATATAGAACTTTTTACCTCCAGGTCAGTGGTAAGTGAAACACATTTACATATTTTTAAGTGAATTTATTGCTCTTGAAGGGAGCCCAGTTGTAATCCTTGACACCAGAACACTTTATTGCTAGAAAGCCCACAGGCGTTGAAAACGTTGATCAGAAAATAACAGAGAGAAGGGGTTCAATTTCAACAGTTTTTCACTGTTTGGCTTCCCTTACAAGATCTTCTGAAATTGTTTGAATTAATCCTAGTTATGATTCTATTTTTAAAGGCTGATATCTATCTGATGACAAATTGGATACGAATCAATAAGATGGGCTTATTTCAATTTAGAGTATGAGCTATCCTGTTGCTTAAAAACAATTATCCATATTTGAAAAAGCAAGGAATTTATTACAGTATTCACGTTGTACTAGGGGGAAAAAGGAATGAGTGATAAAAATTGTATTACAAATTTCAGTAATAGGCATATGGCTTTTACAATTAGAAAATAATAGCACTGATTACATTGATCTTAGCATCAAGGGAAATGGAAGTTACTTTTTCTGGATGTGTGTGCCCATTTAACACCCCTAGAAATGACCAGAATGGATTCAACCCCGTCCAATTCCTCAGCTTCCAAGGCAACACATCCATGGCAACAACTAAGCATCATTACAGATTCTCAACTGTGAAAAAAAAATAAAAATTTCTTAACTCCCTTTAACCCAAGCACATTTTAGGTGATGTAAAAATACAAGAAAAAATTTCAGTTTTATCATCATTGATTATATATATACTCTATCAGATATATTACTAGAAGATGGGCATATAATAATTAATAAAGCAAATTACCTGTGTCTTAGCTTGAAGTACTCTGAATGCATAACCTAGAAAAAGAGCTTGCATGAGGACCATTTATTAGGGACAGGAACCCAAGGGACAGGAATGACAGAGAGAATGAAATGCAGGAGGGAAAGCCAAACCAAAAATGAATGCATCAGCCACCATATAGGCAAATGGTGTTCCATCCTGCCAGACTTTCTAAGGAGGCTTATTAAATGTATTTCAGAATTGTTCACCTGGAAGATAAAAGGGAGATTTTTTTTTCTTTTTTCTTTTTTTTTTTTGCTGTGGGCGCTGGCTCTCCAATTGTCAAGCGTGACCTAATGGACGTGAACTTCCCCACACAACCAAGTTGTGTGACTGGCACAGACATGCCTTGCAGCAGCATCAGGGAGGCCTTGTGGAGCCTAAGAAAGACACTGTCAGGTTCACCTGTGTGAGCTCGGCCAGAACCTATGCTGGACTATATGGTGCAGCCGACTGGTGGAAGAGATGAGGCTGAGAGGACACGAAAGGCTTATGGTACTCTCTTCCCTTAGGGTACTCAATATTCAATGCATACCAAAAAGTCATGCCCTCTCTGAAAGAAAGAAGTTAAAGACATGCATCCTTTTAGAATTACTATATAAAGTAGATAGGTACAGATTAAATCTATGAGCTTTGGAGTCAGAAAAATTGTGGTTTGAACTTTGTTGGTAATTCTTACTCTTTGTGCGGCCTCGATCAACTCATTTAGCATTTTCTCATTGGCAAAAGTGAGGGTGTGGTATGGTAAAATAGTTTCTATTCCCCACAACGATTGTGAATATTAAATGTGATTATGTATAGCATCTAGTCCATTGTTGTGCATAGGTACCATATCAAAAACAAGTTTTTAGAGGTGAAGATTGGCGATCTTTCTATTTTCTTACTCCCATCCATATTTATGCATCAAATGATGCCATGAAGCATAACATATTTTTAATGATTTGAGGATTCCTAAGATAGAAATAAGGCTTCTCATAGTGCTGAGAACCGAAAAAAAGGAAAGCTGTATTTTGTCTCAAGTTTATCAGAGTTCAAAATAGAAAGTGTTTTAAGCTTCATTTTCAATTCATAAAGTTCTTCTAAATTCTATTTTCTGAGAAGAAGTCAGCAGATGATTTGGCTTTCTAATTGTTAAACTAAGTTTTTAAAAAATTAAGAAAAAAAAATTGATGTTTGGCTAAGCTGTTTCTTGAAACACCAGTGACCCTGAATGCAAAGTCTTTACAAGCTAAGAATTCCCTGAAGCTTGATAGGAACGTTGAGATCTTAACCTACACAACAGAATAGCAGGATAAGGCACGTCACTGTGCTGAGATATCACTTGGGGACTGATTTTAATAGCTGACAATTCATAATGGATTGACAAAAGCAAAACATCATTAACTTGAATCTACAAAGTCGACATTTCCATATGCAAATAGGAGCTGGCACATATGTGCCTGTGTACAAGTCTCATTGCTTGTTCCGTTGTCTGTATGTCCTTTCCTTTGTCTTTAAGATCCCAGTGGACAAGAACCACGTCTAATAACTCACTTTGCAAAACAACAACAGGTGCACAGATTGAGGCCTCACTAAATGTTTTCTATGGTAATGATGGCGATATTGTTGATTTTCTCTCTCATGTAAGACTAAGGTCTACAGTCTAATGTCAGTAACCAGGAGTAAAAAGATAGTCATGAATGATACATTTGAGCAATGGAACATGAAAGTTACATTATATTTATGTAACTAGGATGGACTAAACTGACCCTAAGGGTGCATCACCAGAAACAGCACTCACTCTGATATTCTATTTCTTACTTTAAGTTCATAATATCGATTCTTATAAAAGATGTTTCCTTCATTGCAAGGTAGATAACTCTTTCATATTTATTCTGAGAATAATGGGGCTGTGACTTTTACTTTTTAATGTAAATCTGCTTGATTCAGTAAAATTTCATGCAAGAAATTATAGCAACAGACTGCCTGCCTGATTCTGGCTTATGGGAAAGTGATTTAACCTCTCTAGTATTAAGTTCTTCTTGAATAATTGTAACCTATCTTACAGACTTGTTGTGCAGATCAGATAAGATCAAACAAGATAATATAAAGTGCTATAAAAACTTAAGCTATTGTTATCCCTGAAAACTTATCATTTGGGCTGGGCTTAGGTGACTTTAGGAAATAGCCAATTATACTATTTCCTTTATGAAAATATAATCTTGGACTTATTGTTCAGCATGCCTGTGTGAACACACTACAAGGACCCACAGCCTCTTAAGATTCCTCACTGTACTTTCTTTCTCCATGTTCCCCAGGGATCTGTCCTTCTTGGCTTGTCTTTCCTTTTCTTCTGTGTATACAAATGTTGTGTGTTAAGATCAAGGAGTGGACACCTGGTTTGCTTCTCCGAGTTCTATCACTCAGTCTCATAAAGATTTTGCTTTGGGCATTGCAGCTGGCATTCTTTTCTTTCTCTTCCTTGCTGCTGAATGGTTACACAGGAAAGAATAATGAAGGCTTAAACTCTCCGATTCGGCTTCCTATCTACCTTGCATCCTCCTGTTACCAAAGGGGAAACACATGTTTTTCAAACTCAATTTTTGCTGATGAAAATTTTGTTCAGTTTCACAGCTTGACTTCAGAATTTTCCCAAGTGATGGTAAATTTCATTCCCTTGCCAAACAAGGAAATAACCTACAAGCATGTTTGGAAGAAAAACTTAGCAATCCCCATGAAGCTTTAGTATCAGATAAATAGAAGAAAGAAAACAAAATTGTTATGCCAGCCCCTCTGTCATTCAAAATACTGATATGTTTAAACATAGCAAATTTGGGGAGAATATTTAACCTAGGTCAATAGAATATATTAAGTTACTAACCTGTAAACCTTGATGTATAGATATTTATAGTAATGGTAGCATTTGACCTCTGAAAAGACAAAGAAGTGAAGCTTACACACGGCTCAAGATTGAATGCATATTTGGTGAATCAATTATAATTAGAGACAATGATCAGTTAGATTTTCTTCCTCTCATACATGCTACTATTTTGTTTAGAACATTCATTTGAGAAATAACTTTACTTATGAAAACTTAACTTCTCTTATTTCCTTGATGGTTAACTAAACCACTATAATTCTAAGTTCCTTTTTATTGTCTTAGTTCACCACAGCCCAGATAAAAGCCCTTTCTATAGGTCACTTTCATTAAAGGTGTGATAAAAATAAATGACTTGTAACAGGTAGAGAAAACACGAACCAGGAGGGGTAGGCTGCAATCCTATTTCCCAGCAGTGCTCCAGAAAGTCTCCATGTTCTTTTGGGTTTTATTTCTGTGTTCAATTCCCACCAAGTTAAACCGCTCCCCGACCCCATCCCCATCTTCCTGCCTGGGTGTCAACGGCTGACACTGAAATCGACAAAAGGTAGAAGAGACCTTCCCACCTTCAAAAGGGTTTTGGAAGTTAGCTAGTTTATTTAATCCCCAAGCAAACCTGCAGTCAAGTTAATCAGAATGAGAGAAACAGCTTCCTACAGACGAGCTAGGACTGTGAGAAATTGTTTTTCAGGGTGTTTTATAGCCAAAAGCCTTCAAGGGAATGGAAGAGCTCTCCAACCAGGGGCACAAATATTCAAGGAGAGCTTGTTTGTTTTACAGTTATTTTTATCCCACAATAAACAGCTTAAATTTGCAGACTATACTTTTTGACTATAAAGTGGGTTATTTCTCAAGATGCTGGTGCTTTCTCCTAACAGATGGAATAAATAGAAGAAAATGCTGAGAATACACCACTGAAATTCTGATTTATTCAATCATTAACAAAAAGAAGTACAATTTCAATGGTAATAGAATGAAAACCCAACTGTTTCTGCTTTCCTTCTGAAAACTTGTTTTCTATGGAGAATGATGCTGTTAGGCAAACACCTATTTAAACCTCAGCAATGTATAATCTTAACTTCAGGCAGCATGGTTGTATAGGTTTGGTAATTTGTAATACCTCTGCAACTAGGGATAAAATATTAACTTCCAATAATATAAGCAGTATCTGCAATACAAATACTAAAAGTGCTACATTATCTCCCAGGAAAGATATTTTATAAAAAAGACGTTGTACTTGGTTTTCAATGCTTCTCTAGGCAGTTGCTTTGTAGGCTTGTTAGAGGAAACACAGTGTATGTGCAACCTTTGGAGACATGGCACTAAGTAGACAACCAGTCAGTCCAGTATGTCTTTCTTAGGACACAAATAAGAAGGCAGGAAAACAAAAGCCATTTAAGTGCAACAATAACCTCAGGGAGAACACTTTCATGTTGGAAACCACACTAAATGCTTCTTGGAAAAATTGCTTGAATATAATGAAACCAAATAAAATATTGCTGTAAGTCTATAAGAAAATCAGAAAACCTAAAATTAAAAAAAAATCCATGACATACATATATGTGTAAAAAATCCATGATATACACACGTGTGCACACACTCGTGCACATATACAGGGTATGTAAGAACATAAAACATTTATCTGTGTATTTTGCATATCACAAAGAACTGTAGGATATAAAGATTTCAACATATTTCTGCACAAACTTTTTAAAGATTTTGAAGTCCTTGAGCTGGAGCTTGGCTCTGTCGTTAACCAATGTTGTGACCTTGGCTTACTCATCTTTTTTAAATTCTAAGATTATTTTTGCAGAATTTGGTAATTAGACTTCTAAATGATCTGTAAGGAAGTTCTCTCCAGTTCTAAAATACTGTAATTTTAAGGTTTTCCTTTTGTTTTTTTGCTTTCAACTGAGTATTTCTTTTTTTTCCCTAGGTTTATTGTTAATAAAAAGAAATCAACATAGAATATGTTTGCAATATGCAATCACCTATATTTAGCTGAAGAGAGATGTTTATGACAGAAACCCTTCAGTTTCCTCCTTTGTTATCTTTGGTTTACATCAGATGAAAAGCTCCCCAGTAGCAAGGTGGCAGTTACAGTCTATGGAGCCTAGAATGAAAACGAACCTAAGTTATTTTAGAAGACACCTCATTTAATAGATTCTCCTATTCACTTATTCCTCTCTCTCTTCTTTTATCTCTAACCCAGAACAATTCTTAAAATCTTGAATAAGAACAGAACTTTACGATAGTCTTCCCAGGAGTTTTAACAAAGCTATGTATAGAAGCAGTCTGGTTGAACATTTTTAAATCTATAAATTCTAAAAGTGGATGTGGCTTCTCCTGTCCTAATCATGTAAGCAGACTGCAACAACATTACTGCTCAAACCAACGAGGTCTTTTAAAATGTGCTGCCCATTTCCTTTTTCAATCTGCCGAATAGCTGCAGTTATTTTTAAACATCTTTAGTTCTCTATGCACACACAGTATCATGCCTATCTCTTCGTGCAGGTGTGTGTTTTGTTGTGGTTTGTTTACAATTGGCAGGACTTGATTGTAAAAGCCCTGTATTATGAATAAACCAATGCCTGAAATGAAGTGGAACCTTGATTTATTTGGGTAGGACTGTTTTCCAGTACTGTAAATCATATTTTGGTGTTCATTTACCTTTGCATTCTTTTTGAGCCACCGGCACTGAGGCTGACGAATGGGAATCAAATGAAGTGTGCTAAGTGCTTCTGCTGGAGGGTTTCAGCTCCCCACTTGCCGGGGTGTGATTTATCTCTGCAATACATCATGCAACTTATTTTCCTTTACTTATTTTATTTAGTGTTGTCACAAATAATATCAATTGGCCATTGCCTATGAACCCTAAACAGCAGTAAATTAATGAAATAAGCTGCATGTACAGAACTCATCTGTCCCCAATTTGATTAGAGCCACTTTGGTTGTACCAAGCCATTTACTATAGATGAGCTTCATTTATTAAACAAGCAGCTTCATGAGTTCTTGGTAAATTGTTATGCATAGTATTTGCAGTGATTTTAATGAAACACTTAAAGTTGACTCTTTTATATCTCAATCACTAAGAGTATTTTATGCCTGTGAAATAGTCATTTTGAGTCATCTTGTGACTTTCATCTGACTAACTCCAGCTGAAGTAGTTGTCTATTTATGGAAGGAGTTGTCCTTTATTTTTGTTTCTAGGAAAGACAGTAGGAGCAAGGGAAGAGCAGAGGGGCTTATCTCATGTAAGGGCTTCTTGTCACCTGAACTATGGTTGAAGTTCCCTCATAGCACACAGCCGCTGGTCATAATTCTACCCAGGCATTTCTGTGCGCACATTTTCCTGCTGCACTTGCATATCAAGAAGCATTTCAGACCACGGGAATGCAGGATTCCAAGGCACCAATTTACCTTGGAATTTGAAAAGGTAGGTTTCACAAAACAAATGGCTTTTTAGAAAACAATCAGAATCATTCAGATAGATAACGTTGGTATTTCTTTGTGGCTTTAACAAACCTGGGGGGGCCAAACATGTTCCAGAAAAGCACTGCAAGGTAGGTAAAAGCTGTGAATCAGAAATAGGGAAAGCATAAGTGACTCTGATATGAAACAAGGTGACAGCTTCTGGGCACTGGGGAAACTGCCACAAAAACAAGAGAAGGGGTGTGGGACACAATGCAGGGAACATGTATCCAGAGGCTTCAGTGAGATGTGCTGATCGCATAACTTCATGAAGGGCAGAGGAACAAAGCTGGGGGACAAAGAAATCATGGTGGATGAGATAAGAACATTCCAGAGAAGTATCTGTGTGAGAGTAAAGCAGAATAAAAATTGGAAACATTTGGAAGAGCTTGTCTTTTTCCAGAGCTTAAATGAAGGTGGGTGGTGGTGATGTAACACAGAATCGTCCTATATGTCTTTGCTAAGAACATATGTCCTCCTCATGAATCCACTGCAGTCAATACCAATAAAAAAAAGTGTGAGGCAATCATAGAAATGCTTAGTGTTAAAGTTAAAAGCATATTCAATATTCCTGTTTTACTAAAGAATTTTATGCATGCCAGTACTTCAAACCCTCACATGTTTTCGAAGAAATTTAGAGCCCCAAAATGCTAGAGCTAACAAACTGGAAAAGAGGAAATTTAGATATCCCAGTCCCACAGATTTTGTTAATGATGTTTCCTGAGAGTTACTTTATAATTTTTTCAGCGTATAGTTATAGTAGAAATCTAATTCGTTAGTACAAGTTCTTTATTTTAAATGAAAATTAAAAAGTTCATTGAGACAGTCTCCTAATTAGAGAGAATATGAAAGGAAGGAAGGAAAGGGAAAGAACGAAGGAAGGAAGGAAGGAAGGAAGGAAGGAAGGAAGGAAGGAAGGAAGGAAGGGAGGGAGGGAGATAGGTGTCCAAACCAGAGTGACTTCCTCTTGAATAGGGGCTGGGTAAAATAAGGCTGAGACCTACTGGGCTGCATTCCCAGGAGGTCAGGCATACTTAATCAAAGGATGACATAGGAAGTCAGCACAAGATACAGGTTACAAAGACCCTGTTGATAAAACAGGATGTGGTAAAGAAGCTGGCCAAATTCCACCAAAACCCAAAACCAAGATGGCCTCGAAAGTGACCTCTGGTCATCATCACTGCTCATTTTATGCTAATAATGCATTAGCATGCAAAAAGACACTCCCACCAGACCATGACAGTCTACATGCCAACATCCGGAAGTTATCCTGTATGGTCTAAAAGCAAGAGGAACCCTCAGTTTTGGAAATTGCCTGTCTCTTTCCCAGAAAATTCGTGAATAATCCACCCCTTGTTTAGCATATAATCAAGAAATAACTCTAAGTATACTCAGTCAATCAGCCCATACTGCTGCTCTGCCTATGGAGCAGCCATTTTTTTGTTTCTTTACTTCTCTAATAAATTTGCTTTCACTCTACTCTGGACCTGCCTCAAATTCTTTCTTGTAGAATAAGGAAGGAAGGAAGGAGGGAAAGAAGGCAGGGAGGGAGGGGAGGAGGAAGGAAGGAAGGAAGGAAGGAAGGAAGGAAGGAAGGAAGGAAGGAAGGAAGGAAGGAAGGGAGGAGAGAAAAAAAGACTTGCAATTCTTATATGTATACATCATTATTATTATTAAGTGATTTTTTTCGTGCTCATTATATAACATATAAATATCATGGAACATTTACTTTGAGATAAAAGGAGCTGGAAAATATTAAATAAAATGCATCCCACTCAACAAGTCCAAAGGTGAGTTTCATGACAAAAATGATATCTTGGTGAAAAGTGTTTTGAAAGCAACTGCTACCCTAAATATTTCTTTCATATTCACAGTTGCACACTAATAAGAGATTCGGAGGAGTTCTGCAGTAAGAAAGTGTCTGGGTTTGTTTTAACTTGCATTTCAAAACTATGTTTGACTAGGGTAATTTTTTTTTCATATAACAGCTATTAACAGACTATGTACTAGTGCTTCAATGAACATATCTTGGGAAATGCTGCTATCAACGCTTCTGCATAACTCACTCACAAATTCTAACTTTTTTAGAGATTATACTTAGGAAAATGTGTCCATGGGTAGAACTACCCATAAGAAAAGTAAGGTTTATGAAGGGAATTCTAAGCTCTGGAGTCTTCAGACATGACCAATGAGGGAATAAAATCTCATTCTGGGAGTTCCCAAACTCCGGATGTTTTATTTTATCTGTAACCGAACTTGAAATTGAAAACTCAATCTTTAAAATGCAGTACTATCATTTAAAAAAAAAAACCCTATAGATAGGATACTCATATTTAGCAATGCTCTTTTTCTCATTTTTGAAGTTGTAAACATGATTAAAAGCCAAAAATACCGATTCCGACTCAGCAACTTCCTTTGTTACCTGAATTCCACATCTTCTCTACCAATCAAATTGCTGAAATCTCGCTCTAAAATTAGCAATTTTGTTCTGATTATTTCTCAGCTTCATTTCCCTTGATCTCTTGGGGGCATTTGATAGTGTCGATCTTGTTGAACGTGTTCTCGCCCAGGGCCTCTGTATCACACCATCCCAATTCTTCTTCCACCTCTCTAATTACTCTTGGTCACTGCTTCCTGATCCAGTAATTTCACTGTTCCTATCATGCCACAAAGCCCAGGTCCTAATCAGATGTTTGTTTCCTTTCATATCCTTTCTTCTAGAGTCCACTGCTCATCTCTGTTTTTCAGGGGTCATCTCTAAAAATATGCTGGCCCAATGTGTGACTCTCTAGCTCAAGAGTCATCCTTGTATTTCCAAGCATATCAGAATATTTTCTCTCAAATAACCTTCTGACAGATCCAATTTCAGAAGTTAACACTAAACTTGCCATCTATTCTAAAACAGTCTCATTTTTAATCATGACCTTATTGCTCTATGTAGTAACACAATTTTTTTCGCTTAAAATGTAAGTTTAAGTTGCAGCTTACGTTTTAATGTAAGTTAAGGAAAACTCAAACTGTAAGTTTTTCTAGTGCTTTTTAGTGTATTAATTCCTTACCACATGCCATTATCATGCTAAGCACTACAGATACAAAGTCACTTGACCTTCAAGAACCTCATGATTTAATCTGAGAAATAGGAATATAAACACAAAATCAAAATAAGTTTAATGTTATCAGTACAAGATGTATAAGTTGTTACAGGAAGAGAAAAGTCAGAGCTCAGAGAACCACAGAGGTGGGACAATGTTAGAAAAGGCTTCATAAGAGAGGCAGCATTTGAGCTGTGTCTGAAAGTTGAGTTGAAGGTCATATGAGGCATAACAGAAAGAGAAATGCTATTCCAGGCTGCAAATATTTATTATTTTTTGTTTGTTTGTTTGTTTGTTTTTTAAGACGGAGTCGCGCCCTGTCATTCAGGCTAGAGTGCAGTGGCGCGATCTCAGCTCACTGAAAGCTCTGCCTCCCGGGTTCAGGCGATTCTCCTGCCTCAGCCTTCCAAGTATCTGGGACTATAGGCACCCGCCACCTCGCCTGGCTAATTTTTTTGTATTTTTAGTAGAGATGGGATTTCACCGTGTTAGCCAGGATGTTCTCGATCTCCTGACCTCGTGATCCACCCGCTTCGGCCTCCCAAAGTGCTGGGATTACAGGCGTGAGCCACCGCGTGCAGCTTATTTATGTTATTTAAAGGGACAGTCAGAACTTTGGTGCGTCTGTGTGGGGGACAGAGTTTCTAAAACTCATTTAGATTTGGAGGAGCTATTAGGAAATAAGGCAGGGAAAATGTTGAACCTAGCTTACTACTGACCTTGAATGACTTGCTAAGGAGTTTAGATTTAACTCCCTGAAAACTAGGGGAGATGAGCAGAATTTAAGCAGAAAGTGCATAATCATGTCTCTGTTATAGAATGATCATGCTGAGAGTAACAAAGATGGAAAAGAGCAAATGTGATAGAGGACATAAAAATAGTCTGCTATCTAGTTTTCCTGACTCCAGGTTCTTTACTTAATTCTCATACTCCTCGGTGACTTTGTGACACTTGATTGTGTGTGTGGGTGCACAATACACACACTAAACCCAAAATGATTTCAGTAACTATAGTTTTTTTGTTACAACAAAATAAAAGTCTTTTGCCTTACTTTCAATGTCCCCCAGATTTACTGAAGGATACGTTTTTTCACATATGCAACGGTATCCTCTCCCAAAGGCCCACCCTTTTTGGTTTTTGTTGACATCCCCCAACTTCTGAACATATGGGCATACCATAGTCATTCCAACTGAACTCTGCATTCTTCTTTGCCTTCATCCTCTCCCAGGGTCTGCTCCTTTCCTCTTCATTTATATAGATCAGGTCCATTTTTCATCCCCAAGTACAAATCTGTTCCTCTCCCATGGAGCCTTCTCTTATTAGCTTGTCCCGTTCTCACTGATATATGTCTGTCTGTCTGTCTATCTATCTATCTATCTATCTATCTATCTATCTATCTATCTATCTATCTATCTACCTACCTATTTTTCCCCAAAAACCTCTTTAATGTGTGCTGGATCCTGCAATTCATGCATTATCTTTTTCCATTTTTTCTTTTACATTTTAGACTAATTTCAAATAAATGATTTGTTTCTTGAAGCCTATAACTATGTGCTCATTACACCCCTGGGTTTCTCACTGGTTTTGAAAATAATCGACATCCTAAAATCAATCTACGAGACTTCTTTTAGATTTCTTTTTTTATGTTGGTCTCAATGCAAGAATCTACAACAAGAAAAAAAGTGTCTAAATTTGTTAAGTATAGGCCAGGCACAGTGGCTCATGCCTGTAATCCAAGCACTTTGGGAGGCTGAGGCAGGTAGATAGATCACTTGAGTTCAGGAGTTAGAGATCAGCCTGGACAACATGATGAAACCTTGTTTCTGCAAAAAATTTAAAAAGTTAACCAGTTGTGGTGGCATGTGCCTATAGTCCCAGCTCCTTAGGAGGCTGAGGTGAGATGATTGCTTGAGCCCAGGAGGGAGGGGGTACAGTGAGCTAAGATCATGCCCCTGAGCTCCAGCCTGTGCAACAGAGCCAGATCCTGTGTCAAAAATAAATAAATAAATAAAAAATACTGAGCATTTACGTGAAAAGCACTGTGTTAGATGAATCTATGTGTAAGCCTTATCATAGCACTATGTGGTATTATTGTGATTATTATTAATATCGTCATCATCACTGCCATATTAATATAAGGAAAGTGAGTTAGAAATATATTAAATAGGTCAGGCGTGGTGGCTCACATCTGTAATCTTGGCACTTTGGGAGGCCGAGGCAGGCGGATCACCTGAGGTCAGGAGTTTGAAACCAGCCTGATCAACATGGAGAAACCCTGTCTCTACTAAAAATACAAAAATTAGCCAGATATGGGGGTGCATGCCTGTAATTCCAGCTACTCAAGAGGCTGAGGCAGGAGAGTTGCTGGAACGCAGGAGGCAGAGGTTGCGGTGAGCTTAGACTGCACCATTGCACTCCAGCCCGGGCAACAAGAGTGCACTCCAGGCTTCACCTCAAAAAAAAAAAAAAAAATTAAATAATTGTTCAAGGGCATTCATTCATCCAATCAACACATTTTTGTTGAGTTTTTATAGTGCCCCAGGCATGGTTCTAAGTATGAGTGCAAAAGTAATTGTGGTTTTTGCATTCTTGGAATTTGGCGTTTGATATTGGAATACATTCTTAAATAAATGTGGTTTTGTTAAACACCATTTTAATGGGCATTTCTCATTTTATGTTTTTTTGCTCATCACTTATTACTTGCTGTTTATTTTATGTTTATTTTAGATGATAGAAACGATGTTAGACAGAAAGAAAACTCGAGTGATTTTCTTATTTGAGTTCAAAATGGGTCGTAAAGTAGTGGAGACAACTCTCAAAATCAACAACGCATTTGGTCCAAGAACTGCTAACGAACGTACAGTGCAGTGGTGGTTCAAGAAGTTTTGCAAAGGAGAGGAGAGCCTTGAAGACAAGGAACATAGTAGTTGGCTATCGGAAGTTGACAATGACCAACTGAGAGCAACCATGGAAGCTGATCCTCTTACAACTGTGTGAGAAGTTGCCAAGGAACTCAGCATTGACCATTCTAGAGTCGTTCAGCATTTGAAGTAAATTGGGAAGGTGAAAAAGCTGGATAAGTGGATGCCTCATGAGCTGAGTGAAAATTTAAAAAAAAAAAATTGTCATTTTGAAGTGTCATCTTCTCTTATTCTACACAACAACAAATCATTTCTCGATCAGATTGTGACTTCCAATGTAACATGGATTTTATATGACAACCGGTGATGACCAGCTCAGTGGCTAGACCAAGAAGCTCCAAAGCACTTCCCAAAGCCAAATTTGGACCAAAAAAATGTCATGTTCACTGTTTGGTGGTCTGCTGCTGGTCTGATCCACTATTGCTTTCTGAATCCCAGCAAAACCATTACATCTGATAAGTATGCTCAGCAGTTCAAAGAGATGCACTGAAAACTTCAACCCTTGCAGTCATCTTTGCTCAACAGAAAGGGCTCAATTCTCCACAACAATGCATGACTGCACATCACACAACTAAAGCTTCAGAAGTTGAACAAACTGGGCTACGAAGTTTTGCCTCACCCACCATATTCACCTGACCTCTCGCCAACCGACTACCACTTCTTTAAGCATCTCAGCAACTTTTTGTAAGGAAAACACTTCCACAACCAGTAGAATGCAGAAAGTGCTTTCCAAGAGTTCATTGAATCCTGAAGCACGGATTTTTATGCTACAGGAATAAACAAACTTATTTTTCATTGGTAAAAATGTATTGATTGTAATGTTTCCTATTTTGATTAATAAAGATGTGTTTGAGCCTAGTTATAATGATTTAAAATTCATGATCCAAAACCGCGATTATTTTTGCACCAGCCAAATATGAGGGAGTAATAGTTGCACAGAACAGTTCTTTCCTGGAAGTCGGGCATTTTGCCTAGGGGGAAGGATCATTAAAAATTTAAACATTTTAATAAAACCATTAGAACAAATGATTTTGTAACAATATCTGATAGGGTGATACATGCTGTTGAAACAGGAATGGTTCCCTTGCCCTCCTCACAGGACTGATGATGGGGGTGTGGCTCGCTTCTTCAGTGCCCCACTGCTCAAACCTCTAGGGGAGCATACAGACCAGCAGGCTGTGGGGCTCTGACCCCACAGCAGTGTCTAGAGGTGAGTGTCTACAGCTGAAGCCCCAGTGGGTGTGTGTTACAAGGTACTCTTTTAGTTTGCTGTCTATAGGCGGCTTGTGTTAACCAGCTGGATTAGACCCTCTACCTTATCCCAAGAACAGAGGGGCTTTCTGTATTCTGGGTTCTTGCCTTGGTGTACGGGAAGAATTGGATCACATGTGGGCTTGGAGAATGATTGTAAAGTTTTGTTGAGTGGAAGTAACTCTCAACCGATGGGGAAGCCAGAAGGGAGATGGTTTTCTTCTGGAGCTGGGCTGCTCAGTGGGCCCCTGGCTCTCTCCTAAGACTGCCCAGGCCAAACTCGCCTCATCCTGCTAGACGACTGCCTGGCCTCTTGCCGGCATCAGCCAATGTGCTCTTCCATTGGTGTGCTCCCCTCGACGTCCTCTCAATGTCCGGCCACTTGTCTTTCTGTTGATGTGTTCCTCTGCCTTTCCAGAAGCTTCTGTCTCTGCCTTGCTAGGGTCTCAGGTTTTTATACGCACAGAATGGGATTGTGGTGGGCCAGGGCGTTCTTGGAAAATGCAACATTTGGGCGCAAAGGCAGAAGTGCCGGTCCTCACCTAGGTCCGTGGGGGTAGGGCCCCCTCTATCCAACACTTCTCTTCCTCCTTTCCATATCATTTAAAGGGAACGTGCCCTTCTCTTCCTGGCACTCTTGTATCACTATAAAAATAAAACCGCGTAAAAGCTTGGAGTGCCAAGAGCGGTAAATGTTGAGCTAGAATGGGAACCCAAGCTCTAGATCCTCTGTAATAGCCCCTATTATTCATCAGTCTCAGGTACAACTGGGAGGTCACAATGCAACCCATAGCGAGCATCTTTATTACTGGCATTTGAGGCCTCCAATAATCACTCTTTACCTACATAATCGAAGGTAACTCAAGTCAGCAACGTCAAATCTGTGTTCAAATCAAAAGTCTACTTATCTTCACTGAAAGTGTACTCACTATGACTCTGTTCCTTGGCTCACGCTGTTCCTTTAGCATGTGTGCACATGCACTCAGACACATGTACACACATGCTTCCTTTTGACTTTGAGACACACATACACACGTGCTTCCTTTTGACTTTAATGCAAGTTCAATTTATTCTATAAAACATTCCCTGTTGATTAGAGTAAGAGTTACATCTTCAATTTTGTTTATAATTTTTATCACACGTACTGTGATTCTGAATCTATAAATATGTGTTGACATAGCAGAATTTATCTGAGCTCTAGGCCCTGAAAATGATAAAATGGCAAAAAGAAACCAACATGCTAATATTTCAGAAACTGAAGAACTATAACTTTGGGACTGGTTTTTTGTCATGTCTGCACTGACAATGTTTTTTAAATTAAAGTGTAAAATCTGGAAAAAAGTATTAAAAATATTGAAACTACTGGTTAAGAAAAACTATTGAGGATAAATACAAATATGATTTGCATGGCATTAGACTTTGGAGAATTTAATAACATTAAATTCAAGATATCTTTAAATGTTTGTATATTAATATTATTTAATTTTTATATCCTTCAATTCCAAAAAAGAATATGAAGAAATAAATTTGAATGTTTATTCACATTGTTTCAGCCATTAATTATAATATACAGTTGACCCTTCATATCCACAGGAGATTGACTCCTGAACCCCTGAGGTTACCACAATCCGTGGATGCTCAAATCTCTGAAATAAAGTGGCATAGTATTTGCGTATAACCTACACACATCCTATTATATACTTTAAATCATCTGTAGATGAATTATAATGCCTAAAACAAGGTAAATACTATATAAATAGTTGTTATACGGTATTGTTTCCTCATTTGTATTTTTAAAATTGTATTATTTTTCACTGATTTTTTTTCCCAAATATCTTTCATCTTCTGATGGTTGAGTCTGAGAATGCAGAAGCAGCACATATGGAGGACTGACTGTAGGTTTAAAAGTGGTGGCTCAGTCATGGTGAAGAGAATGACTTCTTTCTAAATAAAATGAAGCAGGTGTATTCATCATTAAAGTGAAGAAAACCTGTTTGAGAAAAGCAAAACGCTAATAATTTGTATGACATTTGCACCATCTCAAACTAAAGCTGAAGTGACCTTGCCAATTATTTGTTATTTATTATTCTTAATAATCACACAGAAAAACAAATGGCTTCTCAATAAAAAATAATACTCCTTCTAGTTCCAAAAATAATAGAGTCAGAAACAGGACTTGACTAAAACTGCAGTTGCTGTTCCTGCTTTCCACCTATTTCCAGCTTTAAGAGATTTAAATACGATTTGTTTCTCTTTGTAAACAACAGAACTAATCACCATCCCCAGTCGCAACCAGCATGTGTTGCTAAATTTGGCAGACTCAACCAGAATAAAGAATATAAAGAACAGTTAATAGAATCTTAACAAAGTTGCTGGTATTTATAGGCATTACATTAGTTTGCTATGGCTGCCAAAACAAAATACTGGAAACTGTTGGAAATTTAATGACTCTCAGTTCTGTAGGCTAAAAGTCTGAAATCAAAGGATTGGTAAGATTGGGTTCCTTTTCAGGATTGTGAGGGAAGGATCTGTTCTACATCATTCTGGTGTGTAGATTTTCATACTTACATGTCATTCTCCCTGTATATATGGCTGTCCCTAAATTTCCCCTTTTTACCTGGACACCAGTCATGTTGGATTGGTACACACCTTAATGCACTTATTTTAGCTTGATTAATTCTATAAAGATTCTATTTTTATACAAGGTCACATTTGTAAGTAGAGGGGTTAGGACTTCGGTGTATGAACTGGAAGGTCATAATTCAACCATTAACAAGCACTTTTCTCATTTTCATTTGAAGTATAATTTAAAATTTTATTTTTTGTGTAAATTCTATGGGTAACATAAATACCTATTTGGAACAATAATTAAGCTGGGTCTTCAAAATTGTATATATTTAAAATAATAAATAAAATTCCTAACAGGTTCTATGGTTGTTTGTTTTATCTTGACATATGCAAAGTTCAAATGAACTTGGAATCGTGATATGACTATATATTAAAAATGAGGAAGTGAAAAGTTACCTAAATGTTGATATATGAGTTCATAGGCAAAGTAGACAGCTGCCTATGATGTGCAGGACCTCCCAGTAATTCCTCATGTCTCCAAAATCTGTATATTGTCAATTTCTGGCTAATATATAATATTCCATCAAAAGATTCCCTCACATGAAAATACATACATTGAAAGTAATGGGAGACGAAGCCAATGGTTAATCACCAAAACTGTATTGCTACCCTGTCATCTTCAGGTCCAATGTACCAACACCTTTCACCTGAATTGCTAAAATAGGATCTTAATTCCTTTATTTAGCAAATATTTGTGGGGCTTCTACCAAGTACTAAGCACTGTCATAAATGTTGGGAAGAATATACCTGTCCTTGCAGAGTTTATCTAGAAGGGTATGGAAATGTCTGTTTTTTTTTTTTCTTTTTGTCTCTTTCGAATTTATCATCTACAAAACATCCAGAGTGATCATTTCAAGGAGGACTCTGATCTTGTCACTTGCTACTTAAAACCTTTACATAATTTTTCAGTTGCTCTTGATTAAAATCCCCAAGCCCTGATGTGGCTTTCAAGGTCCTGTATAATCTGCTTCCTCCTTGACTCTGCCACCCCTTGCATATAGCTTTCTATTCCATTCACTCTGCTCCAGCCACACTACCCTGCTAATCTAATGGTGATGATGAACAAATCTCTCCTACACTCAGAGCATTTGTATATTTATTTCCTTTATTTTAGGAGCTCCCTTGCTTTTCAAATGTCCATTTCCAACTCATCGTTCATATCTCAGCAGAAATAGGAGCTCATGGATGCTTCTCTAATGCACCAAACCAAGCACAGAGTCCCTCTGAAACCTATTTATAACTTCTGATTTATAACAATTGTAAATAATTATGTGTATAATGTCTAGAATAAAGATTATGTAGGTTTATAATTTTCTCTTTATACTTAGCACAGTACTGGATAAATGGAAAGAACTCAAAACATATATATTGAATATAAGAGGAGTATGGTAGAAGGGAAAAGAGAGAGAGAATACCCTGATTCTTGGTAAGGCATATATTAAGTGGAATTAGCTTGAACAGGGATGGACACTAATTTAATGGGTAGAGGTTTGGGCCCTAGGCAGAAAACTGCAATTTACTTTAGTCAACATTTTCCAAGTACATTCAAAAACAGATTCATTCCAGGAAGTGCTGCTCAAAAACGATGCCATGGTCAAATAAGTTTGTCTGCCTCTTAGATAATGCCTATTAGAGTGTCCCATTAGGGGCTCTAAGAATTCTAGTAAAGAAACCTGTTTAACAAACCCCCCTCTTCCTTTAGAATACCTAATAACATTGAAGAGTACTTCCTGGGAAATACTGTTTTAAGGTATAAGTCTGTTCCACTCCCTTGTCTTTTTCCTTCTAATTGAAGCTATGTAGATGGAAAATCTCATTCTGTATTTTTTCTTATCTCAAAAAATAAAAAAAAATAAAATAAAAAACACTAGAGGCCGGCGCGGTGGCTCACGCCTGTAATCCCAACACTTTGGGAGGCCAAGACGGGCGGATCACGAGGTCAGGAGATCGAGACCATCCTGACTAACGCGGTGAAATCCTGTCTCTACTAAAAAATACAGAAAAAGGCCGGGCGCGGTGGCTCAAGCCTGTAATCCCAGCACTTTGGGAGGCCGAGACGGGCGGATCACGAGGTCAGGAGATCGAGACCATCCCGGCTAACACGGTGAAACTCCGTCTCTACTAAAAAATACAAAAAAC